GACTTGTTTATGTGTTTTCTCATTTGAACAGATGCAGCCTGCTGTGCCTTTGTTGAGGCAACTTCTTGCTCATTCGGTGGTCTTCAGTTCTCAGCAAGCCACAGGGCATCCTTTTTCTGCTGCTCACTAGTGCACCGATTCCTGGGTTCAGAAAGGTGGCGTTCTGGACCCCTGAGCTGACCTGTTATCTGGGCGGGCTTCTGGCTGGCGCCTGGGCACACTTGGGATGGTATCTTGGCGTGCCTATGGCTAGAGCCTGCCCCCCTATGTACCTGTTGTGTGGGAGCGCCTTTGGCTGCGGGTAGTGTAGTGCTCCCCAGTCCCTGGTGTCTTGGAAGGCTTCTGGCTTGGGGTCTCCACGTACTTACTGATGGTATTGGGTGAGCCACTGGCTGTTGCTTGTACTCCTGTACAGCCCTTTTCCAGGCGGCCCCTTGGCTTGGGCCTGTATGCCCAAGGTGCTGGGGTCATGGTGGGGCCTTGACTGGGTCTGCCTGCAGCCATGTCACTCTGGTCCACGCTGCTGCTTGCCGGTGTCTGCCTTAATCTCCTTTTATAACCTGAAAATTTGACTATTTTCTGAAACAGGAAAACATTTTGCTTTATTTACTTGATTTTTTTTCTTACTAGTCACTAAAGGTATTCTGTTACATATGAAAACATGGAAAATGATTCCATTTACTATATGATAATAAAAAATGAATTTTAATGTAACTTATATTAGTTTTAAAAATGAGCATGTGCAGAGCCCTGGGTTTGATCTCTAGCACAACTCATTGGTAAGATGAATTTGCTCATACTAAGTACAATTTATAAACAATCAAAAAATTTTTAAATTTATGAAATACTAATAAAGCTAAGCTAGTAACAGTACTTTCAGAGTAGTACTAAATAGCTATGCTATAAAGGCTAACTGGAAAAAAAGTCTTTTTTGGGGCCAGGGATTTAGCTTAGTGGTTTCGCTGCCTGCTGTGCAAGCACAAGGACCAGAGTTCGATCCCCAGTACCAAAAAAAAAAAAAATCTTTTGTTGGTCAGGGATTTAGCTCAGTGGTGCGGCCGCCTGCCCCACAAGCACAAGGCCCTGTGTTCGATCCCTGGTACCAAAAAAAAAAAAAAAAAGTCAAAAACATCTTTTGTTCTAGTATCTAGCTAAGAATTACTGTCTTGAAGAAAATTTGTGTGTCATGCTGAAATATTTGAAAGGTAACATTTTTTAAGAAGAAAATGAAACTGACATACCCCAGCGAGACATGTGTACCCATGTTTATAGCGGCACAGTTTCTAATAGCTAAAACTTGAAAACAGACCAGTTGCCCATCAACTGTAGACTGGATAAAGAAGATACAGGGTTTTTTTTTTTTTTTTTAACAAAATGGAGTACTACTCAGACAAAAAGAATGAGAAACTAGAGATATTTATAGCTAAATAGATGCACATTGAAGCCATACTGTTTAAGTTTCTCTGGTGTGATAAACTGAAAGTATAAATAAGGATCAAAATGTGTAATAGATAATTTGAAATAGGAAGAAAAGTCCCAAAGAGGAGGGGGAAAGGAATAAATATGAGAAAAGGAAAAAACAAAAACAAAGTCTTTGTAAATAGGGAGGGATACAGGGGATGAAGGGAGGGCAGGTGATTGGGGGGGAGGGGATAAGAACCAAGAGGGCCACGGATTTAGTTCAGTGGCACCGTGCCTGTCTCACAAGTGCAAGGTCCTGAGTTTCATTCCTGGTACCAAAAAAAAATGAAAAAGCAAAAATAAAAGGCAAGATTTATCATGTAAAGGTAGAAATTCCCAACGGTGAATGTCATCATATTGTATACCTTAACTGTATCGATAAACTTAATGAATTAAAAAGAAAAGAAAAAGAAACCTAGGCGTGGTGTCACATGCCTGAAATCTCTGCACATTGGGAAGCTGAGGCAGGAAGGATCCCAGTTTCAAGCCTAGCCTGGGCAATTAAGCAATTTATCAAGACTCTGTCTCAAAATAAAAGAGAATTGGGGATGCAGGTCAGTGCAAAGGCTCTGTTTTTGTTTTGTTTTGTTGAGACAGTCTGGCTGTAGTAGTTCAGGCTGTCCATGAACTCACTTTGTAGTCCAGGCTAGCCTTGAATTTGCAGTGATCCTCCTGCTTCAGGCTTCTAAGCGCTGAGATTACAGGGGTACACCTCTATACCCCAGCTGGCTCTGATTTTATCAATCCCAATTCCACCAAAAAAAGAGGAGGGGAAGAAAAAAGTTTTTTCCCTTTAATATTTTCATCTTTTCATCTTTAAGTTGTATAAATTGTTTGAGTGATACAGTATAAGACACTGGAGTAATACAGTATCGTACTTGATATATTGTCGAAAGGACATTATTTCATTGTAGGGAACAGGGAAAGGAGACGTTACTAGAACCTCTGCAGTTAAGTCCTAGTCTCCTGCGAGCCACGGCAGTACACGGCGAATTACAGGAAAGGTAGAAAAATGAGACTGAGGAGAAGCTCAGCTTCGGGTCTGATCAGTGCTGCTCTGGGCGGCAAAGACGAAAGCCCCCAGTTTACCTTACCGCACCTTTTTTTCAGTACTCAGTACATCAGGAGAAACAAATGTAGCAAATGACTTGCAGAGAGTTCAGTACATCCCTGTAAACAAGATGTAACAATCCAAGAACAACGAGGAACTGAGTAGATGTTTGTTCCTCCCAGGATGTTTTCAGCTCCCAGGATGTTTCTTGTCCTGGAGAATCACAGCTTCCCTGGATCATTGCGGTCTCAGCTGTGACCAGAGGGCAAAAGGAAATTATGTCTCGGAATTCCATAGCTGGGCTGTAGGCAGGAGAACTAAGCTAACCAAAGGATTTTTCCCTAAAATTATGTAGCATTGCTCCTGACATTTCATGTTTTTATAAATTATGAAATATGAAAAATTTAACAGTACCTGGTGATATTAATTGCTTTATCAAATTTGTATCCCCTATAATACTTCCATTAGGCTACTTCTTAAATGAATTACTGAAGTTGCAGACATTATTCTTTAAACACATCAGCATATATGAATGTGCTGTTTGTTTATATTTTCAGTTAAAATTACATTGCCGTTTGCATAAATCTTAAGTGTACAGTTGAGTTTGACAAATGTCTTTACCCCTATTAAAATAAATAGCATCTCCATCATCTTAAGAGTGTTGCCTCATACCTCTTCCTAGAAAGTGCCTTCTCATCTCTTCCAGAGGCAACTATTTTTCTAATTATTTTAACATAGATTACTTTCCCTGGACTAGGACTTTATATATATGGAATCATCCAGTATGCACTTTTGTACGTAAGGGATTTTTTGGGATGCGGGGGGGGGGGCGGACTGGGGATTGAACCCATTTTCTGTTGTACGTAGGTAACATTTTCATGTTTCTTTATATGGTTGGCTTTATCACATTTTATCCTGGGTGTGTAAATATGTTGCAGAGCATGATTTTTGTTATGTTGTCTGAACTCTGTCCTAATTGTTCGACTAGAAAGATTCAGATTTCAATTTGAATTTTAGCTGCCCTAAAAAGGTGGCACTGACTTAGGATTTCCTTCAAGGAAATTTACCCAGTACCATTACTTTCTTTAAAGTTCCAAGGTTTGCCTGTATCTGACTGCTCTCCTTCTTGTAAGTTTTTCAGTCTTTAAAAAAATTTTTCTCCTGAGTTTTTAATTTTTTTCTAGAAGATTGGTTTAGTACAGTTATTCTGCTCATTCTCAAGTTGAACCTCTCCCTTGTTGTTTTTTTAACTTATTGAATTCACTTCAAGCAACATAAAATCGACCATTTTAAACTTTAAAGTGACCAATTCAGTGTTATTTCATACACTCAAAATATTGTAAAACCACCAACTTATTTTAGTTTCAAAATACTTCTTTTTTTTTTGGTACAGGGGATCGAACTCGGGACCTTGCGCTTGTGAGGCAGGTGCTGGAACCACTGAGCTAAATCCCCGGCCCAGTTCCAAAATATTTCTGCACATGTTTGTAATCCTAGTACTTGAGAGGCTGAGGTAGGATTGCTATTGAGTTTGAGACCAGACTTATCTACTGAGTTCAAGGCCAACTTGAAGTACATAATGAGACTGTATCTCAAAAAGTCAGTACTGAAAAAAAAATGTTTAAAAGTGTTGACCTATCCAGTATAAATTTACACAGGCATATATTTTGTGTGTATGCACAAACTATGATTATTTTTTGATTATTTGTATACTTAGAACAATTTAGGTGGCTTACCACTTGGAAAATAACACTTGAATTTTATGTGCACAAGAAATTTTAAAATGTTGAATACGTATGTTAAAAAGTAAGGAAATAAAAGACTTTCAAGCATGAAAGTACAATATAATGGTTTGAAAATTTTATCAGGAAAGTGAAATACAGATACAGATTGTTCATTGTTCAAGAAGAATTTGCTTACACTTTTTAAAAATGAATGATGATGGATGTCGCATCATTATGGAATAGAGATATATTTCAAGAGTAAAGTAACAAATTTATCTTAATATTGAGAAGTTTTAAATGTTAATTTCTAAATCTACAGCTTTACATAGTTCTCAAAAGTATTCTAGCAGCTATCTGGGTTAAATCTCCTAAAAGCCATTGTCATGCCCAACAATAGAGTGAAACAAGCAGGAGCTCAGAGGGCAGAATTGTAGGGATTTTTCACTCTCAGGGTTCTGCAAGAGTAGAATAAGCACTTTCAGGATCCTAAGAGTAAGTGCCTTCTTAAATCATGAACTCTTAACATTCTGCCCTAATCACAGAATTGTTTAAGAAATTTTATTGTGCTTAACATAGGAAATTAGTGTTTGAAGAATTGACTTTAGAGGGCTGGGGATTTTAGTTCAGTGGCACTGCACCTGCCTTGCAAGCTCAAGGTCCCAAGTTTGATCCCCAGTACCAGGGAAAAAAAAAAAAAAGAATTGACTTTAGAAAAAAAAATTGCAAATAAGTATCAATCATTTTCAATTGCTTTTGTTTTTTAGAGTGGGGTTGAAAACTCAGCCTGAATCAAAGTGCCCTGAGTTGCTTGCCAATTACTGTGATATGTTGCTGAGAAAAACACCATTAAGTAAAAAACTAACCTCTGAAGAGATTGAAGCAAAGCTTAAAGAAGTGGTATGCAAATTTTTTTGTATTTCAGACTTTTAAATTATCTTGAGTGTTTTGCTTAGAAGACTGTCTATGATAGTATCAATAAAAAAATGTATATACTGCCGGACATGGTGGCACACACTTATAATCCCGGCACTTGGGAGGCTGAGACAGAAGGATTGCCACGAGTTCAAGGCCAGCCTGGACTACATGGTGAGTTCAAGACCAGCCTGAACTACGTAGCGAGACCCTGTCTCAAACAAAAGAAAAGTGTATACTATATCTGTAAGCACCAATTTTATGAAGTTATACAGTACACAACCTATATAGGACATTTATTCTTCTACCTAAAATTGTTTATTCTATACCTACTTAAAGGGTATTTTGTTCTATACCTACCTAAAATTAAATGTTATTTAATTCTTTCCTGATTTTTTTAGGTAATTAAATTCTGTATCTTATTAAAGAACAAAAAAATGGAAGGATTTGGAATAGTACTTGATGAGATATTGGCAGTTTTCCATTCCTTTTTTGTGAGAGCTCACATAAGACAGAGAAATGAGGATAGATAAAAAGAGTTGTTTGCATTTTTATTTGTGTCTTGGTTATTAATGGAATGATGGAAGCCTAGGGATACAGAGAGGAAAAAAAAAGTAGGATAGGACAAGTATAGACAAAAAGGCCTAGAGAGATAATTAGTGTCAGAGAATAAGTGAAGAAGGTATGCAGAAAAGAAAATTAGGGAAGAGCCATTGATTTTCATGTAAAGTATTGTCACATTTTATGTAAACAAATATTGGTATTTCTAGGGACTAAAGGGTCATTTGGTTATGGTCTCAAATTTGCTAACTTTGAAAGTAGTGAAGTACTGTATGTACTAGTTATTTTCAGAAATGAATAATTGATTTAGTAAACCTCTATTTGTATATGCTTATTGAGAATATATTAGAATTAAAAGTAACTTTGTTTTTATGCAGCTCCTGGTACTTAAATACGTACAAAACAAAGATGTTTTTATGAGGTATCACAAAGCTCATTTGACACGACGTCTTATATTAGACATCTCTGCTGATAGTGAAATTGAAGAAAATATGGTAGAATGGTTAAGAGTAAGTAAATTTTTTAAATATTTGGTTTTCTAATAGAGCACATGGTTCATATGTGTGCTTAAGTGATATGTATTTTAATAGTAATTGTTTTGTTTTTGTTTTTGTTTTTTTGGTACCATGGATCGAACTCGAGTCCTTGCGCTTGTGTAGCAGGCGGCAAAATCACTGAGCTAAATCCCTGGCCCTTAATAGTATTGTTAATATAAAAAAAAAAAAAGGATCATTTTATAAGAACATGGATAGCATCAAGTGTAATAAAGATACCTAATACATTAAATTTGCTTAACAAAATCTTGTGGTGAAGCACCTTTGTTCCTGTTGTTTAGCTCCCATTTTTACTCTTATTTGGACAGACCTTAATAAACAGGCTACAGGACAAGTCATTTAGTTTTTAAGGTGTTTTTCATACTAAATGTTTAACTACAGAGTTGTTTACAAATAAATAACAAGAAGTACTTCTGAACTATGGAAAGACCCTTTAGATGGTGTCCTACGTAGAGAAATCAATGCTAATTATAACTGTAAATTCTCATATTAAATATTTTTAACATTTAATTTTAAATTCTAAAAATACCTTTATCCATACTTTTAAATTTTTATTGGTACATGTTTGCAGTACATAATGAATATATTCATTGTGGGTAGTTGGTACATGTACATAACACATCTTACTTCTTTTTACATTCCCTTTCCCATCCCTTCCTGGCTGCATGTCTTTAATGCACTTTAATTTTTTTTTTTTTTTTTGGTCAACTTTTTGTCAGATGTATAACAACTAATGTGTATTTAATACACTATAATTTTTTTTTCAGTACCGGGAGTTGAACTCAGGACTTTGTGCTTGCCAGGCAGGGGCAACGCCACTGAGCTAAATCCCAGGCCCTCAATACACTATAATTTAAAGCACAAGAAACTTTTAGAATTAAAGTATTTTATTTCTTTGTAAAAACTTATTAAAAGTAGTTAGGAAAATATTTGTAATTCATATTTCTTAGTTTTATATCTAGAATATCTAAACTCTTAAAATATAACAATAAAATGATGGGTACCTCAGTTAAAAATGGGCAAAAAATTTGAATACACATTTCCTCACAGAAGATACACAAATGGCCAATATGTACATCACCAGGCATGGTGGCATACATTTATAATCTCAGCATTTTGGGAGGCTGAGGGAGGAGAATCACAAGTTCCAGCCCAGCTTGGGCAATTTAGTAATTTAACATGGCCCTGTCTCCACATTTAAAAATTTTTATTTATTTAGTTATTGGTTTTTTGAGAC